GTATTGGTAGTAGAAGTATTGGCAGTAGAAGTATTGGTAGTATTGGCAGTAGAAGTATTGGTAGTAGTAGTATTGGTAGTAGAAGTATTGGTAGTACTGCTGTTACCTGGTTGTCCCAGTTCTCCTGCAGTGACAGCTTCAGGTAGATAAGTCCTCGGGGCTCCAGCCTCACACACAGCTGCTGACTGCGACTCCCTGAAACACACACACACACCTTTAATTAACACACACACACCTTTAATTAACACACACACACCTTTAATCAAACACACACCTTGAATGATCATAATGTTTATGTCTGTGCAGTACAGTAGTGTGGGGGGGGTGGGTTGTAAGTCACCTTTAAAGAGCGGGGGGATGCAGACCCCCCCCAGAGCACAGACCCTGTTCCTTGGGGGGGGGTCTGATTGTCCTCCTGCAGGAGGAGCTAAAACCACAGAAGAAAACTTCAACACCTTTATTAACACTGCAGAAGAACAGGTGGGACAGGTGAGCAGCAGACAGGTGAGCTGCAGACAGGTGAGCTGCAGACAGGTGAGCTGCAGACAGGTGAGCTGCAGACAGGTGAGCTGCAGACAGGTGAGCTGCAGACAGGTGAGCAGCAGACAGGTGAGCAGCAGACAGGTGAGCAGCAGACAGGTGAGCAGCAGACAGGTGAGCAGCAGACAGGTGAGCTGCAGACAGGTGAGCAGCAGACAGGTGAGCAGCAGACAGGTGAGCAGCAGACAGGTGAGCTGCAGACAGGTGAGCAGCAGACAGGTGAGCTGCAGACAGGTGAGCAGCAGACAGGTGAGCAGCAGACAGGTGAGCTGCAGACAGGTGAGCAGCAGACAGGTGAGCAGCAGACAGGTGAGCTGCAGACAGGTGAGCTGCAGACAGGTGAGCTGCAGACAGGTGAGCTGCAGACAGGTGAGCAGCAGACAGGTGAGCAGCAGACAGGTGAGCTGCAGACAGGTGAGCTGCAGACAGGTGAGCTGCAGACAGGTGAGCAGCAGACAGGTGAGCTGCAGACAGGTGAGCTGCAGACAGGAGAGCTGCAGACAGGTGAGCTGCAGACAGGTGAGCAGCAGACAGGTGAGCTGCAGACAGGTGAGCAGCAGACAGGTGAGCATCAGACAGGTGAGCAGCAGACAGGTGAGCTGCAGACAGGTGAGCAGCAGACAGGTGAGCAGCAGACAGGTGAGCAGCAGACAGGTGAGCTGCAGACAGGTGAGCTGCAGACAGGTGAGCAGCAGACAGGTGAGCAACAGACAGGTGAGCAGCAGACAGGTGAGCAGCAGACAGGTGAGCTGCAGACAGGTGAGCTGCAGACAGGTGAGCAGCAGACAGGTGAGCTGCAGACAGGTGAGGAGAGAGGAGCAGAGGAGGACACCCGAGGACAGAGGAGTCGAGGAGGGGAGCCGAGGAGAGAGGAGGGGAACCGAGGAGAGAGGAGTCGACGAAGGGAACCGAGGAGAGAGGAGGGGAACCGAGGAGAGAGGAGTCGAGGAGGGGAAGCAGTCTGATGGACAGATGTGCTCATGACCACTTATATATTTACTTTAATTCATTCACAGTGCGGTGTAATGAGACAATAACAGGCTACAGATGCGGGCGGACAGACACACACACACACACACGCACGCACGCGCATGCACGCACGCGCACACACACGCACGCACGCACACACGCACACACACGCGCACGCACACACGCACGCACGCACGCACGCACACACACACACACACACATATATATATTTATAGAAATATATACAATTTCAGAATCAAACAAGTATGAGAGCACTCTCATAATAACGTAACACTATCAGAGACTGGATATATCCCCCCCCCTCTCTGGTCGCTGAAATGGGGAATTGAAATTACGGGCCAAAAGTTGTATTTACAAAAGCAAGCAGAGAACACCAAACCAACTGAGACCCGTCTGTCCGCCGCATCTACACACTGTACCACACACACACCTACACACTGTACCACACACACACCTACACACTGTACCACACACACACCTACACACTGTACCACACACACACCTACACACTGTACCACACACGCCTACACACTGTACCACACACACACCTACACACTGTCCCACACACACACACCTACACACTGTACCACACACGCCTACACACTGTACCACACACACACCTACACACTGTCCCACACACACACCTACATACTGTACCACACACACCTACACACTGTACCACACACACCTACACACTGTACCACACACACCTACACACTGTACCACACACACCTACACACTGTACCACACACACACCTACACACTGTACCACACACACCTACACACTGTACCCCACACACACACACACACACACACACAGCTCCTAAAGCATCATCAGGCTGCAGCCGTTGTGTATTTTATTTTGTGAAGCACTAAATGCTCTTAGAAACATCTGGACTCTTTGTTTGTAGATATCTACTAAACTAAAGCAAAGAGAGTCGGCCTGTTCTACTGAGTGATATCTATTATACACCAGAGGTGGGACCAAGTCATTGTTTTGCAAGTCCGAGTCAAGTCTCAAGTCAGGATGGGTAAGTTAAAGTCCTAAACTTTGACAAAACGAGTCTTAAACAAGTCATTATGTGCTTTTCACCAAATGTAATGACATCGATCAACAGAATAATACTTAATAATCAAACTGCTCTTTATTAGTCTCATTAATCATTTAATAATCAATTTTCTCTCTGCTGGTAAAGTCACGTGTTTTTCTATTTGAAGAGGGATCAGTGAGGTGAGGCTACCGTGACGCTTTGATTCAGAAGGAGTTTAATGTATAAGATCCCTGATGTTGAGGTAACCAGAATGTTTATTTCCACTGTGTACAACATGTTGTAAGGGACCCACAATCTATCTTTATGCAAGGGATAATGTGCAGCCGAGGCGTCTCTATGGGGAAAAGAACACCTGCATCTAGATCCCTCTGCAGGTACTTTAACTATATTCTGATGCTAATACTTTTCTACTTTTACTTAGGGTTAGGGTTAGGGTTAACTTTTCACTGTAACCGAGTATTCCTACACTCTGGAACTTTACTCAACTACAAGATCTGAACTTCTCCCTCCTCTGACAGTAAATCCTGGTTACCAAAAGAAACCCTGCTCTGAAGGTTATTTTCATTTGACAGATCCTGCACTCAGCTTTGCTTTCTCCAACATCATTGAAAAGCAGCAGATGCTGCTTCTTTTTTCGGTTTTCGCTCATTTCTTGACTTTTTCCGACGCGCTTGCATTTAAATCCGTCTCCCCGTCGCTCTGTGCAGCTGGCCTAAACCACTACACCTGCTGTGCCCCCCACCCTTCTTTCACATAATGGTATGATCCTAGTGTGTCCTCGCATATGATTGGCCGCATGGTGGCCCAGCTAAATAAAGTCCCGCCCCTGCCTGCAAGGATTCTCAGCAAGAGTAAGAGCGGCTGAAGATTCTGCTCTCCTAGCGGCAGCTCGCGATCGGCGTGTTGGAGACCTCTGAATTAAAGTATCAAGTCATCTCAAGTCAGAAGGCTCAAGTCCAAGTCAAGTCCCGAGTCATTGGTGTTCAAGTCCAAGTCGAGTCGCAAGTGTTTTGTGATTTTGTCAAGTCGAGTCTCAAGTCATCAAATTGGTGACTCGAGTCTGACTCGAGTCCAAGTCATGTGACTCGAGTCCACACCTCTGTTATACACACTGCTCTGCTTTCTGCACGGACCTCTCAGCTGTTCTCTCTGGAAACATCGCGACGCGATGAGAGCAGTTACTAAAATAATATCCAGGGGATGCATGCAAATCAAATCAAGTTTTATTTATATAGTACATTTATAAACGATTTTTGGTGGAGCCAAAGTGCTGTACATATAATAAAAATAGCCTACAGTAGAGACACTTTACAGCAAATACAACAGCACAGATTGTTCAAGAGCTGTGATTGGCTGAGATCAGTCCGGCCGTGCGTCACGACTCTTTGAAACATCTCTGTTGACGGAAATGCATCCACGAAGGAGCCATCAGTGTCTCCTCGGTTAGAGCTCCTCCAGAGAGCCTCCTCTCTCCTCTCTCCTCTCTCCTCGGTTAGAGCTCCTCCAGAGAGCCTCCTCTCTCCTCTCTCCTCGGTTAGAGCTCCTCCAGAGAGCCTCCTCTCTCCTCTCTCCTCTCTCCTCTCTCCTCTCTCCTCGGTTAGAGCTCCTCCAGAGAGCCTCCTCGACGCTCGATCCTCGGTCCTCGAAATTCAAATGAGATGTCCTTCAACATGGTGCGCTGAAAACCATGTCAGACCGAGGAGTCGAGGAGTCGAGGAGTCGAGAAGGGGAAATCAGTGGAATGAGAAAAGGCCCTGGAGTCAGCAGCAGACAGGTGAGCAGCAGACAGGTGAGACAGACAGGTGAGACAGACAGGTGCAGTACCTGGAGTCAGCAGCAGGAGGCGCAGCAGCCTGGCTCTCTCCAGCTGCAGGTGGAAGGCGTGGTTCAGAGGGAGGGCGGAGCCTCTGAGGGTCAGCTGGGACGTCCGGGCTCTGGTGACTCCGTCCACCTGGATCGCCAGGAACACCTGCTTACTGCCAGAACACCTGAGAGACAACACCACAGGAACACTGAGAGACAACACCACAGGAACACCTGAGAGACAACACCACAGGAACACTGAGAGACAACACCACAGGAACACTGAGAGACAACACCACAGGAACACTGAGAGACAACACCACAGGAACACTGAGAGACAACACCACAGGAACACTGAGAGACAACACCACAGGAACACCTGAGAGACAACACCACAGGAACACTGAGAGCACATCTTCCGGCGCAAACTGAAAACTCATCTCTTTCGACTCCACTTAGAGCGATAGAACTATTAACGAAGCACTTTTATACTAATAAAGGACTGGCTTATCTAAAGCCAGTTGAGTAGCACTTGAAATGTTTGGCTCTATGAAACCTGATGTACTTATATGATTCTGTTTTCTTCAAGGTTGTGTCTTCCTGGTCGAATTTACTTATTGTAAGTCGCTTTGGATAAAAGCGTCAGCTAAATGTAATGTAATGTAATGTAATGTAATGTAATAAAGACAACACCACAGGAACACCTGAGAGACAACACCACAGGAAAAACCTGAGAGACAACACCACAGGAACACTGAGAGACAACACCACAGGAACACTGAGAGACAACACCACAGGAACACTGAGAGACAACACCACAGGAACACCTGAGAGACAACACCACAGGAACACCTGAGAGACAACACCACAGGAACACAGAGACAACACCACAGGAACACCTGAGAGACAACACCACAGGAACACCTGAGAGACAACACCACAGGAACACTGAGAGACAACACCACAGGAACACTGAGAGACAACACCACAGGAACACCTGAGAGACAACACCACAGGAACACTGAGAGACAACACCACAGGAACACCTGAGAGACAACACCACAGGAACACTGAGAGACAACACCACAGGAACACTGAGAGACAACACCACAGGAACACTGAGAGACAAACACCACCAGGAACACCTGAGAGACAACACCACAGGAACACCTGAGAGACAACACCACAGGAACACCTGAGAGACAACACCACAGGAACACCTGAGAGACAACACCACAGGAACACTGAGAGACAACACCACAGGAACACTGAGAGACAACACCACAGGAAACACTGAGAGACAACACCACAGGAACACTGAGAGACAACACCACAGGAACACCTGAGAGACAACACCACAGGAACACTGAGAGACAACACCACAGGAACACCTGAGAGACAACACCACAGGAACACCTGAGAGACAACACCACAGGAACACTGAGAGACAACACCACAGGAACACTGAGAGACAACACCACAGGAACACTGAGAGACAACACCACAGGAACACCTGAGAGACAACACCACAGGAACACCTGAGAGACAAACACCACAGGAACACCTGAGAGACAACACCACAGGAACACTGAGAGACAACACACAGGAACACCTGAGGAGACAACACCACAGGAACACTGAGAGACAACACCACAGGAACACTGAGAGAGACCGCACAACACCACAGGAACACTGAGAGACAAACACCACAGGAAACTGAGAGACAACACCACAGGAACACTGAGAGACAACACCACAGGAACACCTGAGCAGACAACACCACAGGAACACTCGAGAAGACAACACCACAGGAACACTGAGAGGACAACACCACAGGAACACATGAGAGACAACACACAGGAACACCTGAGAGACAACACCACAGAAAACTGAGAGACAACCCACAGAAACACTGAGAGACAACACCCAGGAACACTGAGAGACAACACCACAGGAACACTGAGAGACAACACCACAGGAACACTGAGAGACAACACCACAGGAACACCTGAGAGACAACACCCACAGGAACACTGAGAGGACCCACACCACAGGAACACCTGAGAGACAACACCACAGGAACACCTGAGAGACAACACCACAGGAACACCTGAGAGACAACACCACAGGAACACTGAGAGACAACACCACAGGAACACCTGAGAGACAACACCACAGGAACACCTGAGAGACAACACCACAGGAACACCTGAGAGACAACACCACAGGAACACCTGAGAGACAACACCACAGGAACACCTGAGAGACAACACCACAGGAACACCTGAGAGACAACACCACAGGAACACCTGAGAGACAACACCACAGGAACACTGAGAGACAACACCACAGGAACACTGAGAGACAACACCACAGGAACACTGAGAGACAACACCACAGGAACACCTGAGAGACCACACCACAGGAACACCTGAGAGACCACACCACAGGAACACCTGAGAGACAACACCACAGGAACACCTGAGAGACAACACCACAGGAACACCTGAGAGACAACACCACAGGAACACCTGAGAGACAACACCACAGGAACACCTGAGAGACAACACCACAGGAACACCTGAGAGACAACACCACAGGAACACCTGAGAGACAACACCACAGGAACACTGAGAGACAACACCACAGGAACACCTGAGAGACAACACCACAGGAACACCTGAGAGACAAAACCACAATCAAGAATACTCTAAATAATACTAAATAATAATAAATATGTGTTTTAATAATAATATATCATATATTTATTAATAATAGTACCCGCTGCTCTTCAGCTCCTCCAGCCCCAGCAGGTGGACAGTCAGTAGGCCTGTGACCCGCTGGCTGTTTCTCGGCGGTTCGATGCCCGAGTACATCTGGAACGAGCTGACGTCACATGTTTCCTGGGGGGAGGCGAGGGGAGGGGCCTGTTGCCGTGGCAGCAGCTCAGGGGAGTCCCCGTCGCTAAGGTAGCCTTAAAGGGAAACACACAGGTTCAGATTCACTAAGGATAGGTCGTTAGCGAGAGCTATGGTAGAAGTCTGTTTGTTGGTTTGTGTTCATCTGGTCGGTCATTTTTACTGTCTTGCTTTTTGTACTAAACGTTGGAACACCG